TCCAGATCAGGTAAAATAGAAACAAGAAAAATTTGGAGAAACAGCTCCTTAGTTTGGGACTGTTCGTCATGCTAAAATTGTTGACAACCAATATAGGCACTTAAACAATTCTAATCATCCCTCCAGCTTTGCTCCAGAAGAGTATCTCCACAGTCTCCACGCGATACTTTTACACTGGCACACCAGCCATCTTAAACACAGAAACACGGAAAATAGGTACAGGAGTAGATCATTTAGCCTTTGAGACTGCACAACCATTCAATATGATCATGGCTGATTACGCAATCTCAGTGTCCCATTTCCACCCTCTTCCCATTTCCCTTGATCCTGTTAGCCGCAAGGGCCACACCCAGCTCCCTCTTGAATATATCAAATGAACAGGCCTCAACAGCTTCCTGTGGAAGAGAATTCCACAGGTTCACAACTCTCTGAATGAAGAAATTCTTCCTCGTTTCAGTCCTGAATGGCTTACCCCTTACTCTTAGTCTGTGACCCCTTGTTGTGGACTTTCCCAACACTGGAAACATTCTTACCACATCTAGCCTGTCCAGTCCCAACAGGATTTTACATGTTTCTATGAGATCCCCCCTCATTCTTCTAAATTCCAGCAAGTTCAAGCCCAGTCGATCCAAACTTTCCTCAAACGTCAGTCCTATCATCCCAGGAATCAGTCTGGTGAACCTTTGCTGGGGTCCCTCAATAGCAAGAATGTCCTTCTTCAGACTAGGAGACCAAAACTGCACACAATACTCAAGGTGTGGCCTCACGAAAGCACAAGAACAAAGAACAAAGAACAAAGAAAATTACAGCACATGAACAGGCCCTTCGGCTCTCTAAGCCTGCACCGATATGCTGCCCGTCACAACTAAAAACTTGTACCCTTCTGGGGACCATATCCTATTCCCATCCTATTCATGTATTTGTCAAGATGCCCTCTAAAAGTCTGCTTCCACCACCTTCCCCGGCAGTGAGTTCCAGGCACCCATCACCCTCTGTAAAAACCTTGCCTTGTACATCACGTTTAAACCTTGCCGCTCACACCTTAAACTTATGCCTCCTAGTAACTGATGCTTCCACCCTGGGAAAAAGCTTCTCACTGTCCACTCTGTCCATGCCCTTCGTAATCTTGTAGACCTCTATCAGGTCGCCCCTCAACCTCCGCTGTGCCAGAAAGAACAACCCAAGTTTCTCCAACTTCTCCTCATTGCTAACGTGCTCCATACCAGGCAACATCCTGGTAAACCTTTTCTGTACCTTGTCCAAAGCTACCACATCTTTCTGGTATTGTGGCAACCAGAATTGAACACAATATTCCAAATGCAGCTGAACTAAGGTTCTATCAAGCTGCAACATTACCTGCTAATTTTTAAACTCAATGCCCCGGCCGATGACAGCAAGCATGCCATATGCCTTGTTGACTACCTTCTCCACCTGCAATGCCACTTTCAGTGACCTGTGTACCTGTACACCCAGATCCCTCTTATAAACTGACGTTTTCCCAGCCACCATCAGTTCTAAGGAAGGGTCACCGGACCCAAAACGTTAACTCTGTTTTCTCCTCCACAGATGCTGCCAGACCTGCTGAGCTTTTCCAGCAACTTTGTTTTTGTTCCTGATTTACAGCATCCGCAGTTCTTTTGGTTTTTACCCAGATCCCTCTGCCTATCAGCACCCTTAAGGGCTCTGCCATTTACTGTATCTATTCCATCTGGATTAGACCTTCCAAAATGCATTACCTCACTTTTTTCCAGATTAAACTCCACCTGCCATCTCTCTGCCCAAGTCACCAACCAATCTATACCCAGCTAACGGTCCTCATCGCTATCCGCAATTCCACCAACCTTTGTGTCATTGGCAAACTTACTAATCAGACCAGTTACATTTTCCTCCAAATCATTTATAAATATTACAAACAGCAAAGGTCCCAACATAGATCCCTGAGGAACGCCACTAGTCACAGCCCTCCATTCAGAAATGCACCCTTCCACTTCTATCCTCTGTCTTCTATGACCAAGCCAGTTTTTTTTAATCAATCTTGTAAGGTCATCTCTGACCTTCTGTATCAGCCTGCCATGAGGGACCTTGTCAAAGGCCTTACTGAAGTTCATGTAGACAACATCCACTGCCCTACTCTCATGGATCATCTTTGTCACTTCTTCAAAAAATGCAACCAAGTTAGTGAGACATGACCTCCCCTTCACAAAACCATGTTGCCTCTCACTAATACATCCATTTATTTCCAAGTGGGAGTAAATCCTGTCTCAAAGAATCTCTCCAATAATTTCCCTACCACTGACGTAAGGCTCACCGGCCTGTAATTAGCTGGATTATCCCTGTCACCCTTCTTAAACAAAGGAACAACATTGGCTATTCACCAATCCTCTGGGAGCTCCCCCTGTAGCCAGTGAGGATACAAAAATTTCCCACAAGGCCCCAGCAATTTCCTCCCTTGCCTCTCTCAGTATTCTGCGGTATATCCCATCAGGACCTGGGGACTTGTCTACCTTTATGTTTTTCAAGACCCCCAATACCTCCTCCCTTTTGATCTCAACATGACGCAAACTATCTACACACTCTTCCCCAGACTCATCATCTACCAAGTCCTTCTCTATGGTGAATACTGATGAAAAGTAGTCATTTAATACCTCACCCATTTCCTCTGGCTCCATTCATAAATTCCCTTGAGTGGGCCAACTCTCTGCCTAGCTACCCTCTTGCTCTTTATATATGTATAAAAAGCCTTGGGATTTTCCTTAATCCTGTTGGCCAATGACTTTTCATGACCCCTTTTAGCCCTCTGACTCTTTGCTTAAGTTTCTTTCGACTTTCCTTGTATTCCACCCTTGCTTTGTGTGTTCCCAGCCTCCTAGCCTTGATAAATGCTTCCTTTTTCTTTTTGATTAGGCTCACAATATCTCTCATTATCCAAGGTTCCCTAAACTTGCCATACTTATCCTTCATCCTTACAGGAATGTGTCAGTCCTGAGTTCCCAGCAACTTACACCTGAAAGCCTCCAACATACCATATGTTGATTTGCTCTCAAACATCTGCCTCCAATCTACATTCTTCAGTTCCTGCCTAATATTGTTGTAATTAGCCTTCCTCCAATTTAACACCTTCACCTGACAACTACACTTGTCTTTATCCATCATTACCTTAAAGCTTACTGCATTGTGATCACTGTTCCTGAGCTGCTCCCCGACTGAGATGTCAACCAGCTGGCCAGGCACCTTCCCCAATACTAGGTCCAGTATGGCCCCTTTCCTAGTTGGACTATCTACATACAGTTCCAAGAAGCCCTCCTAGATGCTCCTTACAAACTCTGTCCCATCCAAGCCCCAAGCACTAAGTGACTCCCAGTCAATATATGGGAAGTTAAAATCACCCATGACAACAACCCTGTCACTTTTACATCTTGCTAAAATCTGCCTACATATCTGTTCTTATCTGAGCATCTCCCAGTGGCCGTTGGGACGTCTATAGTAAACCCCAAACATTGTGATTACACCCTTCCTGTTCCTGAGCTCTACCCATATTGCCTCGCTGTATGAGCCATCCGAGGTGTCCTCCCTCAGTACAGCTGTGATATCTCCTTAACAAATAGTGCAACTCCCCCACCCCTTTTGTATGCCCCTCTATCCCGCCTGAAACATCTGTATCCTGGAACGTTAAGCTGCTAATCCTGTCCTCCCTTAACCAAGTCTCTGTAATAGCAACAACATCATAGTTCCAAGTACTAATCCAAGCTCTAAGTTGATCTGCCTTACCTGTTACACTTCTTGCATTGAAACAGATGCACTTCAGTCCACCAGAGCCACTTTGTTTCACAACCGCACCCTGCTTGCTCTTCCTCTGAGTCTTACTGGCCCTATTCTCTAGCTTCCTTTCAGTCAATTCACCTTTACTTTGGTTCCCACCCCACTGCCGAGCTAGTTTAAATCCTCCTGAGTGACACCAGCAAATCTCCCAGCCAGAATATTTGTGCTCTTCCTGTTTAGATGCAACCCATCCTTCCCATCTGACCCAATCAGATCCCAATGGTCCAGATATCTGAAACTCTCCCTCCTACACCATCTGTTCAGCCACATGTTGCGCTGTACTATCCTCCTATTTCTAGCCTCACTTGCACTTGGCACAGGGAGTAATCCCGAGATTACAACTTTGGAGATCCTGCTCTTTAACTTTCTACCTAACTCCCTGAACTGCTGCTGTAGGACCTCATCACTCACCCTACCTATGTAGGATGGCCCTGTATAACCGTAGCAAGACATCCTTACTCTGATACTCAATCTTCTTGCTATGAAGGAGAGCATGCCATTAGCTTTCCTTACACACTGCTGCATTTGCATGTCAATCTTCAGCGACAGTTCCTCCATGACACCAGGTCTCATTGCACCTCATCTTTTCCTTAACTGCCACTGTTCAGATAATAATCTGCCTTCCTGTTTTGTGACCAAAGTGGATAACTTCACATTTATAGTGGATAGCCTCACATTTACCACATCTTGTGCCTTTCTTTCCTGAGTACCAGATTAGAATGAGTAACTGAACAAAGACTTCACAATTTATTTCACATAGAATTCACTGCTAGCACAAAGAGACTTTCACCAAGGATTGATTTGAATCCAAAAGGGGCCGGATGTGAAATTGAGCATGTATCGCCCAGTCTCCTGAAGGACAGGTCTCTTTCAGGTCACAGAGGTTCAAAGTGAAGACTCTAACCAGATCACAGTATAACCCTAATCAATCAATAAGAGATGTCTTGAGCTGCAAAGAGATGAGGCAAATTGTTATGATGTGAAATATGAGGAACATTCACAAGCAATTTGAGATATATATAGAGAGGACAGTTCTGTACGCCTGTTTAGGAAAGTATAATTAATGGCAGTTCTTTCAGATACTGGCACAATGATGGGCTGTAAGATTTGATGACTATTGACATGATTTCCATTGACCATGAGAAGGTTTAATGTTACTTGTATCAATACAAGCTACGCACCAGATCTCCGTGCTCTCCCTTGTCTCCTTTTTCTCCAGGTTTACCCTTTTGAAAGAGAAAAAAGAAAATTGACTTATTTTATGTGTACAGTTCATGGCAGGCAGGACAATTAGCCGTATGTTTGGGGGAGGGTGCGGGGGAAGGTGCTCTCACTTTGTTTACAAACCAGTTAAACAAAAATATCATCAAACTGCAACTAAAGTTCCTTTATTACTCTGTATTGACTTTAAATGCTCCTTTTCCAATAACAGGTCTACTCTTAAACATGTTATTTAAATCATGTCAGTGTAAACTGACACTTAGTGTAAAAGAAGTCCCTCTATAATTGGAGGACTTAAAAGTAGGAACATAATGCACAAAACTTCTCCAGGCAGTTCATTATTTCAGAATGAATATTGGCAAATGTAGCATAACTAATGGCAGTCACTAGATCTCCTAACTGCGCAATGCACTGGGCAGAATCAATCATTTAAAAGTGTTGATGCCTGGGTGACATACACTTGTGTTACTATTAAAAAATGTATGTAGCAGGAAGCAAAGTATACAGTATCTAACATTGCCATGAAGGGTCAGATTTCAGCATCAATGGGCATCTCAGCAGCATAGCTCCACAATCAGATGCTGATTGAAGTACAAAAATACCTACTCACACATCAGAAAAAATATCTTCCCAGCTTCATTCTTCCCTCAGCCCACCTGCAATGCTCATCTATTGTTACCTCTACATTCAACTATTCTAATCCTCCCTTCCATCTCATATCTTCAGGAAACCTTCACTAGATGAAGCGCACCTTTGGGTTCATCCAAAATCCTGTCACCTTTATCCTAACTTAGACCAACTCATTTACCAAACAAAGAATCCCTACAGTCCAGAAAGAGCCCATTCGGCCCATCAGGTCTCTACCGACCCTCCGAAGAGCTTCCACCGCCAATCCCGTAATCTGCAGGGGGTTTTTACCATGGCTAACCCACCTAACCTGTACATCCTGGACACTATGGGACTTTTTTTTAGCGTGGCCAACCCACCTAATCTGCACATTTTTGGTGTTGGGAAGAAACTGGAGCACCTGGAGGAAACCCACATAGACACAGGGATAAATTTCAAACTCCACACAGACATAGTTGCCTAAGGCTGGAAGCGAACCCAGGTCTCTGGTGCTGTGAGATAGCAATGTTAACCACTGTGCCATCTTGTGTTCACTGAATTCTGTAGATGTGGATAATGAGACAGATTAGACAGAATGGTAGAACTGATGTATGAAAAGAGACTGGATTAATTAGGACTATATATACTGAAATTTAGAAGAGTGAAGGAGAAATTTCTTTACCCAGAGAGTGGTGAGCCTGTGGAATTCCCTGCCACAGAATGCGGTTGAGGGCCAAACGTAGAATATTTTCAAGAAGGGCTTAGATATAGTTCTTAGGACTAAAGGGATCAAAGGGTATTGCATGGAATTATGATGTTATTGCCATTTCAGAGACATGGTTAAAGGAGGGACAGGACTAGCAGCTTAACATTCCTGGATATCGCTGTTATGGAAGGGACAGAAAGGGAAACAAAAGGGGTGGGGGAGTTGCACTGCTGATTAGGGGTCACATCACGGCACTGTTGAGGAAGGACACTTTGGAAGGATTTTGCATTGAGGCATTATGGGTGGAACAGGAAGGGTGAAATCACAATGTTGGGAGTTTTCCATAGACCTCCCAACAGGTCACGTGAGACAGAGGAGCAGATATGTAGTCAGATACTGGAAAAGAGTGAAAACAGCAGGGTAGTTGTGGTGGGTGACTTCAACTTTCCTCTTATTGACTGGGAATCCCTTAGAGCCAGGGGCTTGGATGGACAGCAATTTGTTAGTTGTGTCCAGGAGGGTTTTTTTTGAGGTAATATGTTGACCATACAACCAGAGAGGAGGCCATACTATACTTGTTACTATGGAATGAGCCAGGACAGGTGATCGATGTTTCAGAAAGAGAGCATTTCGGGCTTAGTAACTATAACTCCATAAGATTTCAAGTAGTCATGGAAAAGGATACAAGTGGCCCTCGGGTGAGGGTGCTTAATTGGGCAAGGGCCAATTACACCCAAACTGGACAGGAACTGGAGAATGTGGATTGGAAGCAGTTTTTGAGGGCAAATCTACAGCTGGTGTGTGGGAGGCTTTTAAAGGCCAATTGACTAAAGTGCAGGACGTGCATGTTCCTGCAAACTAAAGGATAGGAATGGCAGGATTCAGGAACCATGGATGACAAGGGAAATTGTAAGGTTAGTCAAAAGAAAAAGGGAAGCATATGACAAATCTAGGCAGCTACAAACTGGCGAAGCCCTGGAGGAGTGGAGAAATTAGGAAGGAACTTAAATGCGCAATTAGGAAGGAAAAAAGCCGGCACGAAATGTCTTTAGCAAACAGGGTCAAGGAGAATCCCAAGACTTTTTATGCATATGTTAGGAGAAACAGGGTAACAAGGGAAAGAGTATGCCACTCAAGGACGAAGCAGGGAAGTTATACTTAGAGCCACAGGAAGTGGGGGAGATCCTGAATGAGTACTTTGTGTCAGTTTTCACCGAGGAGAAGGACATGACTACTGTTTAGGTCAGGGATGAGTGTGTGAATACTCTAGAGAATGTCAACATATTGAAAGAGGGAGTTTTGAGAACCTTAAACTGCATTCAGATCAACAAGTCCCCAGGACCAGATGGAATCTACCCCAGGTTACTCAGAGGGGCAAGGGAGGAAATAACTGGGGCATTGGCAGATATCTTCACATTTTCGTTGACCACAGGTGAAGTTCCAGAGGACTGGAGATTAGCAAATGTTGTTCCCTTGTTTAAGAAAGGATGTAGGGATAATCCAGGAAACTATAGGCCAGTGAGCTTGACGTCTGTGGTGGGGAAGCTCTTGGGGAAGATACTGAGGGACAAGATATATGCGCATTTGGAGGAAAATGGACTAGTTTGTAACAGGCAACATGGTTTTGTCCTAGGAAGGTCATGTCTCACCAACCTGATTGAATTTTTTGAAGAGGTAAGAAGGGTAATTAATGAGGGAAGGGCCGTGAATGTAATTATATGGACTTTAGTAAGGCATTTGGTAAATTCCCACGAGGCAGGTTGGTACAAAAACTAAAATTGCAAGGGATTTGGGGTGGTCTGGCTAGAGGAACAGAAAACTGGCTTGGTCATAGAAGACAGACGTGGAAGGATGTTTTTTTCAGAATGGAGACCAGTAACTAGTGGTGTTCCTCAGGGGTCATTCTTAGGTCCTTTGTTGTTTGTAGTATATATAAATGATCTGGAGGAAAATGTGTGTGGTCTGATAAGCAAATTTGCTGATGACATGAAGATTGGTGGAGTTGCTGATAGTGCCAACAATTGTGAAAGTATACAACAGGATAGAGATAGATTGGTGACTTGGGCACAGAAATGGCAGATGGAGTTTATTCCAGACAAATGCGAGGTGATGCATTTTGGAGGATCAAATTTAACTGTGAATTGTACTGTAAATGGCAGAATCCTTAGGCACACTAATATTCAGATGGATCTGGGCATGCAGATCCACAGTTCCCTGAAAGTGGCAACACAGGTAGCCAAGGTGATTAAGAAGGCATATGGCATGCTTGCCTTCATCGCCCAGAGTGTGGAGTACAAGAGTTGGCAAAACATGTTGCAGCTATATAAAAGCCTTGTTAGGCCGCATTTGAAGTATTGTGTGCAGTTTTGGTCACCACATTACCAGAAGGGTGTGGAAGCTTTGGAGAGAGTACAGAGAAGGGTCACCAGGATGTTGCCTGGTCCCCTGGGCATTGACTATGAAGAAAGATTAAGAAAACTAGGATTGTTTTCACTGGAAAGACGGCGGCTGACAGGAGACCTGATAGAGGTCTACAAAATTATGAGAGGCATAGATAGGGTGGATAGTCAGAGTCTTTTTCCCATGGTTGAAGTTCCAATTACAAGGAGGCACAGGTTCAAGGTCAGAGGGGGAAAGTTTAAAGGAGCTGTGCGAGGGAAGTTTTTCACGCAGAGAATGGTAGCAGCCTGAAATGCACTGGCAGAAGAAGTAGTGGAAGCGGGCACATTGGAGACATTTAAGAGGCAGCTAGATGGGTACATGAATAGAGAGGGAATAGGGGGTTACGGATCGAAAAATGGCAGGTTTGTTTTTCGATTAATTAGGGCATGATGGTCGGCACAGCCTTGGAGGGCCGAAGGGCCTGTTCCTGTGCTATACTTTTTCATTTGTTCATTTTATTTGCTCATTTGGTATGGGGAGAAAGCAGGAACAAGATAAAGAATTGGATGATCATCCATGATCATATTGAATGGATAAGCAGACTCGAAGGGCTGAATGGCCTACTCCTGCTCCTATTTTCTATGTTTATATGTGTACAACAAAATACTTGGAGGGAGGGGCTGTGGGGTAAATTCCAACTAAACCCCATCAAAATGCCTGGGAAAGTTCGATCATGGAATGACGAATATGAGAAAGGTCATCTCATAGGTTGATTGGACAGGATCTGTGAGAAACTGTTCCTCTAATTGCAGACTGTTTCTCTCCTGCTCTTTCCCTAGCAAATACAGGACAGAACCAGCCCGTGATTGGAAAAGCAACAAGAAGGAAAATAGTTATAATAAAGTGTTGAAGAAAGGTGGCAGAGATGGTGATGATGGGGAAAGAGGTGCAGGGTTATGGAAAAGTGAGGAGGCTTCAAAAGCAAAGTGGAAAGTTGAAGGACGCTGAAAAGGAAAAGGACAGTTTTAAATCTGTCAACAAAAGAATACTTAGCTCATTCCAAAGGAAGAAATCTTAAATCAGAGAGGTAATAAGTTCAGTGAAAATTAATGTGCAATCTCTAGCTTGAGGCTGAATATGTTCAGGAGCTACTACATATGGAAAAAAATATAATGGGTACTATTGTACTGAACATTATTTAGGTGGAACTGAGATCAGACTTGCAGTAAAATGCGCAGGAGCCACCTGGTTAAAATGTTCTAGCTTTGTGCATATATGATAGAATTGCATTAGCTATGACCCCTCCAGTCT